CTGTTACTGCCAGCAATCTGATATAGTAATTTTACAGAGTGATGATGTTCCACATGGCAATGTGACTCAATTTGACTGAGATTACAGAGTGGATACATTATTCAGGAATTACTCCTGATATTAACGTGTCTCAATGTAATTGAGAGTAATTCACTCAAACATTACTCCTAACATTAATGTATCTCAGTGGTATCGAGAATAATCCTCTCAGATTATTCCTGGTTTTAATGTGTCTCAGAGGTATTAGGAATAAACTACTACTGGAATTAATGCGGTATGGGTTACTGGCAATAATTAATGGATGACCACTCCAGCTTAGTAATTTAAACGGTTGGGAGATTAGAAGAGGAGTCCTTACAGACATTAGAGTAGAATAGAATAGCCTTTGCTATTGTCATGTGCACTTGACTGTGATGAAAAGTTTGTAATGTTGCCTCTCAGCATTGTCTTCGGTACAAGGTACCTAGATATAGACACTTTAAGTTTGTTACAGGATTGAAATAGTGAAGAAAAAAACCCACTGGTATGGAAATGCAGAGTTTAAATAGCCCAGAATGAGAATTAAAAATGTCTTTGAAGTACTCAAACTGTAGTCCTTTTCACTGAGTCTGTGCCCACCAGGCTTCAGAACACAAAGCAAGAAACATCATATTTATTGACCAGAAACTGAATTGAACTCATCACTTAAGCACAGCGGCTACAAGAGCAGAGACTGGGAGTCCTGAGGGAAGTAATTCCCCTCCTGACTCCCCAAAGCCTGTCCCACCATCTACAAGGCACAAGTCAGGAGTGTGAGGGAATACTCCCCACTTGCCCCTGGATGGGGGCAGCTCCAACAACACTCAAGAAGCTCGACACCATCCAGGACAAAGCAGCCCCCGCTTGATTGGCATCACATCCACAAACATCCCACTCCCTCCCCCATCGACGCTCGGTAGCAGCGGTGTGTACCATCTACAAGATGCACTGCAGAAACTCACCAACAGCACGTTCCAAACCCACAATGACCACCATCCAGAAAGACAAGGGCAGCAGATACAGGTCAAACATCACAAGTGCTTCTCCAAGTCACACAAGTGCTGTGTCCACTTTATAATAGAATAGAATCCCTACAGTGTGGAAACAGGCCCTTCGGCCCAACAAGTCCACACCGACCCTTGGAGCATCCCACCCAGACCTGTCCCCCTATAACCCACACATCGGGCAATTTAGCACAGCCAATGCACCTAGCCTGCACATTTTTGGACTGTGGGAGGAAACCCATGCAGACACAGGGAGGATGTACAAACTCCACACAGACAGTTGGGTGGAATTGAACCCAGCTTCCTGGTGCTGTGAGGCAGCAGTGCTAACCACCGTGCCACCATGTCCGTATCCTGAATTACATGATAAAACAGAGTAGTCAGAGGAAGATTCCAGACAACAGCGATGGTGAGAGCAGGATAAAATGGAAAGCGAATTGGCAAAGAGCAGGAAAGGATTTTTTTTCTCTAACTAAATCAACTTTCAACAACGCATTGGGAGGCTGGTGAAAAGATCAGGTAAATGTAAGAACTATTTGCTGGCATGGATTAATTTGTTCCATGTGTATTTTTTTTTTATGGGACACCAGGAATACTGCCCAGACTTGGAAAGGAATGGTCCCTAAATGGCATCAGTGAACCAGACTGATTTTACTGTTATAAAGATTAACCTTAACTGGCAAATGTATGAACTGTATTTAAATTCTACTGGATGGTGTAGGATTGGAACTCATGTACCCAGGGAACAAAGCCTGGTACCTTTTGGGGGATAGCAGCCCAGGTATATACCACAAACCCATCATCTCACACTAACTTCAGCTTCACTGCATTTGCCTGTAGCTTACTCCCATGCTCTTCCAGCAGAGAGCTCTCTGGCTATACATACACACACACACACACATGAAGACATAGACATATATACAT